AGCTAGCCAAGAACACAACAATCGCAAAAATGATAAGAAACCATCGCACAACAGTTCCAACGGGTTTTCGGAGCTTGCTACTATGAATCAGGGAAACTTCGAAAGTATGATCTGTAAAGAACAATGCAATGCGCTTTTGCAAAAGTATATCGTAATTTGATATTATTCATGCTCAACCAAATTTAAGTTATGATTGCTGCAAATGGAGGAAATATTAAATATTGATGCTTACTTTAAGTAAATAAAATTTTTGGGGGGGTTTGAGTAAAAATTTTTTCCAATATCGTAAAAATAAAGGCGTGCAATACTTTTGATACCCCCCTGTATCTCAGTAAGGGCCTGTATCAGAGACAACTGAGTTCTGGACTGAGTGACTGGGTTCTGAACTGAGACATGTCCCAAACTCAGATACTTGATAAGCTAAGGTGGTGAGAAAGTATTACAACATAATACAAACACACGTAACTATTGGTTAATGAATTAAATTTATATTAGTAAATAGAATAAACCATTTCTCCTGCAAGATAGCTAATTTCTATCAGCAATAATAACTGCTATACTCTTCTTCTCCTCGAGTTAACGATTGCCCGCGTCTGCAGAACATTTTTTATTTTCGAAGAAACATAATAGTCTTATGGGCTTTATTGTCAATATTTACATAAGTGTAACAAGCGCTTTATCTATTTCCTCGAAAAAATTTCTAAGCATACACAAACAATTGATTATTTAATAAACAAGTTGGCAATCATTTATACACTAATATTACTTAATAGCTTGCCAAAAAACACTTGAAATGCCCGGCCCGAATAAATTAAACATGTGACACCATTAAAATTTGTTTCCGTTGCAGCCACAGTGTGAGTATTTTTAAGAGTCCGAGTTTATGACAAAAAATCTGTTGTTAATAATTTTCGATCTGTATTTCATGTGACTTCTGTTTGTCACAATCTAGCCGAAATAGTGACCACTTTAACCTTTCCAGCTTCCTGTATTACCGTTGCTATATATTTGCTATTTTTGCAAATCATTCTTCTAATTTCGTCTGTGCCCTGTTAATCTTAATCCGTATGCGTGCTTCCAAATTTGTAATTTATTATTCCATATTAATATTGATATCAGCTCATCTGTAATACCAGATATTGTCAAACAAGCGCTTAAACCTGTGACCTGCCCGCATATCATATCTTTCACTATCATCTCAATCACTAAATATACTTTGCTGGATAAATACTAGACCATAAGTCATTGCCTTTGCCTGTTTAAGCCATGCTTTTGGTATCTTCCTTAGTTTATTATTAACACATTTGTCTACTGATGTTAAGGAAGCAGAATTCTTTATTTTCGACTTGTTACAACTTTTTATTTCTAGATTTTTTTTTTCAGTCTGTCATACCAACAGGCATTTTTGCTTTCCCACCTCAATCGCATTCGATATTCAGATAAGAAGGTAAAGATATGTCAATCATGTTTCTGATCCCGTAAGTTATCTCTTGATAAGTATATACGAATAGGCCTATCAAACTTTGCATGAATAAGTTATGTGAGACCTAAGAAATTAATTACCTGGCATTTTCTTTGCATTATCGTTATCGTTACTCTTACGTATTGCACGTCGCACGGATATAGTAAAGTTGGAATAATTACGTCATTCATAGATAACATGTCAATGAATAGTAATAATAGTAATTATAATAGGGGCCAATGACCGAGACTGATGTGCCGATCTCTCATATTTCCGAATATATTGTATAAATTGACATTCGTTCGTTCGATGGTTCATTCCTGCAATTTGGAGTCGTCTGACCATGCAGAAAAGTGGTTGCTACGTATTAGTATAGCAAAGACAACAGCCATGACCATTGAATGTATGCCCACTCTAGTTGTCAATAGAGTATTATAGCCTTCGGGCCTAATTCTGTTCAACAAGTGATCAGAGTGATATTGCAAGTCGCCCGTGTAATACAAATTGTATCTGCGGTATCAGTAACCATATTTGTATATAACTGTTATCTTTATTCATTTATAGATCATTATCTCCAAGTGATTTTCGTTTTGCATCTAAGGGTTCATACATGACGCAGAAGATACTACCATATTGACGTCATGTTGCAAACAAAAAGAAAAAACCAAACACAATTTCCCCCATAGTATATACACTCCAATAACAATGTATGAGTAATTTCCTTTCCTTTAATTTACACCTTAGATGTTAGTTTTAAAAGATTCCTTCTCGAACAAGTGATCTAGTGCGCAAACCTATTTTTATGTTAATATACAATAAACTAATCACCGTCTAAATGGAAACTGCCCACAAAGTGTCTTCGTCTACATTTTTTCTCTCCCCAGTAAGCCCAAACCTTTTCAATCTAGAAGAAGTCAAATCAATCCATAATGCATCTTCCTTTCCGATATGGTCACATCCCTTTTTATGTCTTCGTTTATGTCCATTATGATGGTTAGCATGCGGGATCGGTATGCCTTTCCGTCTCTTTAATTTTCTCTTTCTCCTAATTGGAGAGACAGCTGTGGAGAATGGATCTGTGGTTGTTTCATCTCCAGATGTGAATCGATGGTACGGAAGTGATTTTGAGTGACGAGATGAAAGAAAACGGGAATTATTTCGAATAGAATTAAAGAGCGACATGGCTTTTGCACGATACGATAAAGATGTATTGGGATCATGTTCTGAGATATTAGTAGGTGATGCGGTCATAACAATTGTATTTGTGTTCGTATGACTGTTAGCAATTGCAACAGGTGGTGAATTAAAAAATGTAGAGTCAACATCATCATCGTCGTCGTCTTCGTCATCTTCCATATATCCGTCTTGCTCATCATCGTCATCGTCGTCATCATCATCGTCGTCATCGTCGTCGTCGTCCTCATCATCGTCCTCATCATCATCATCGTCGTCGTCGTCATCATCATCATCATCATCCTCTTCCTCTTCTTCTTCTTCTTCCATATATCCGTCTTCATCGTCATCGCCATTATCGTCGTCGTCGTCGTCATCATCATCATTGTCATTGTCATCATCTTTTCCTAATCTTCTATTAAGTAATTTTCTGGGGGGTGGGGATGGATGCCGTCTTTTGTCTATTAATCTACCTTTATTCTCCGTGTATGATTTTCTTTGTACATTTGGTTCGTCGCTGGTTTCCTCCTGCTTAATGTCCTTTTCTTTTTCACATTCTATATCCGTAGAGCGTGCCTCCCTGACAACGAGTACATCATTAAACTTTAAACATCTTCTTGTGATCTGTTTCTCCTCTTTCTCTTGTGGTTTATTTGTTGGCTCTCCCTGCGTTCCCGTGATCCCACTTCTTACATATGTAGTATTGCCGTTAATATTAGCATTATTATCTTTGTTGATTCTGATTCCTTTGATAAATGTCCTTGATGGAAATGTTTTGGTCTTGAGTTCCTCGGAAAGTAACGATTTCGTTACACAAATATCTAAAGTGACACTTCTCTTGCGAAATTCTATCGGCGATGATGGTGTTGGAGGCAGAGTAGACGCGCAAGTTGGACGAACTAAGGAGAATGCGACTTGCGATGAAGTATTAATAGTAGTAGTAGGTGGTAACGATCGTGGTGGCGGCGACGTTGTTGGGGTAGTGGTGGTAGTACTGGGAGTGGTTGTGGGCGCGGTCGCCGTTGTGAATTGTAATACTGATGATAGTAAACTATGTACACTACTTCGCCTTGATTTTTGAGAATGTTGTTGGGTCAGGTTGGTCGTCGCCTGTTGGTGTGACTGTTGATTCTCAAGCGTGTTGATGGATGACCTGCGAAAAAAGGAAAAAAAAAAAAAGCAACACACGATTGATTATTATTGTGATCTGCTATAAATATTTTGTGGCTGTGGATGGCGTACTATGGCGTATAAGGATTTTGGGGAGGGAGGCGATAATACAAAACGAGTCGTTTACAATGAAAGGGACTAGGAACGCATTTATTCTTGGGGCAATTGATGAGCATGTCTATTCCCAACCTATGTCATAACTACCCACTAATACTACCCAATAGGACCACTATCTACTTGCCATTTGGTTTCAGCCGTTGCTCCTGCAAACATACACATACTACTTACTACTACCGCTAATACACCACACCACTCACTAAACTAACTATCCCAACAGCATTCTTTGCAAGTTTGACTTTGCTCACCTTGGAGTTCCGCAGGCATAGCCTACAGGTGAATGAACAACAAAGGCAAACAGTGGTTGCATTCGGGTTTGATATCCCTTCAGGATTCTAATTCGACTTGTTCAGGTGTCTGGTGTATATATATGTATTTCATGTAGGTTTGCTGTCTTTTCTGGGCGTAACGTAAGGATGTACAGAACGATATATTATTAATAATAATGCAATAAAGCAATAATGTAAATAGAATAGGGGATGTCAGATGTTTATATACTGAGAATTCAATGTTATACCATGTATTACGTTTTATCAAATGCATAAAATATACGGGATGCCAATGATAGCAATTATAGCAATATTAGGTATAAAAGCTTTCTAATCGTGATATTACTACGCTGATGGTATAATAATAGACTAAACCCTTAAAAGCTAGTATATTCGAAAGATAACAAGTATATAAATAAATGAAGGGGAAATCTCATATGAATCAAAATACAATGACGTATAAAATATGCGATAAACAACCGCATGTACTTAGCATATACCCACTGTGTATCACTGTGTATCACCGTGTATCACCGTGTATCACTGTGTATCACCGTGTATCACTGTGTATCACCGTGTATCACTGTACCACTGTAGTGTACCACTGCATACCACTGTGTCTGTGATTACAAAATATACAACAACGGGCGACAATAATATTAATATTAAACCCGTCAAGAAATTTCGTTGGTTATGATCGGTGACATCATAAGGTCGGATTTATTTAACCAATAATAGCACCGTAATGATAACAAACACTAAGCGGTGTAGTCTTTATTATTGGGACGAATTCTGTTCTCAGGTCATAATAGCGCACATGACAACTACCCAATAAAATACAAACCAGCAGTTTTAATGATCCGCTATTACTATTAGCTATATAACACTGTACCAATGCAACGGTAATGACATTATCAGATTAGAGAGCACGAGAGTAATCCATCCCATGTGTGATTGTGGCGATCTTTGAGCTGGGAGAAAGAACAATCTATCCGTAAAGGATTATTGTTTCTATCTCGACACACGATTTTAAAATCGGCTTTATATCTTTTTCAGGAAAATTCATACACGAGAAAGAGATGAATTGCCGAGTCAGGAATAACAATCCTTGAATTGTGTGAATCCAGTAATATATTCATAAATTCAACTAAAATTTTAAATTATGCAGTGTGAATACTTTGCTCATAGGTAGTTTTTGACATACTACACAGTGAATTCATTTTAACGTAGACATTCGTTCCGCGGTTTTGCTTCGTTAACCTGAAAGTTCGCCCAAGTGAACTGTTTTTAATGTGAAATATATGAATCCGTTCTGGAAAGAACTTTGTTATAAAGCGATCTTCGTTAAAGTGAAACTTCGTTAAAGTGAATTTCACTGTATACTACTAATATACCATCTTTACCCCCATCTTTTTAAAAGTCATAAATAACATTTAATATTCTTTCAGCATACTCTGTTGCCACATTAATATTTATTGAATATGAAGCTTTTTTAAAATGTTTGTCTATATTCTTCATGTTCTTCTGATAAAATAATCTACTGGATGGATAAAACCCTTTTATTATGTGATTGCGATTAGCAAGAGAACCAATGCATTTTTTGTTACACAGCATATGGAAGCTATTACTATTAATATCTCATCGTGGACTCGACCAAACAACTCTCTTATTAATATCATTGCTTAAAGTTACCAAACCAGATTGGACGGTTATCTATAATAAACGAATTGCCACGGACTTTAAAATGTAAAATATTCCCATTAACCTATAATCTTGCACAAATCATCAATAATCTACAGCGTGCTTCAAGAGAAACATTCAAGTCTAGTGACGTTGGAAGTTATGAGACAACATTCATTGGAATGACAAATCACTGCTTCGTTATTTTCAACGCGTGCTACTCGTAAATTGAGTGCATAACACATAAACATATTTTATTAACTTATATATTACTAAATAACTCTATACTCTTCTCTCACTGACTTGATCTTGACTAACGAATGTACGCGCAGTTTCAACCCCAACTGTAGGCACAAAATAGGAGATATCATCCCAAGGATGTCGATAGAGACCTTGTTTCAACCGCCGCTGATCGAGGTAATGACCTATGTTGATTAATTGACTGATAAGTACTGGCAGCAAATTATGGTATCTTTCTCAGCACCTCTATTATGTGCAATGGTTAATACATACCACAAAACCCAATACTCCGTCCAAGCACAAACAATCCGTTCAATGCTCCAATCTTCATATATTCCTCAGCTTCGTCAGATGTGAATGCTCCTGATTCTCTCAAAAGATCCACAAAGCATACTGCAATAGCTCCGTCGAGATTCAGAATCAATGAATCCTTCTTCGCGGTAGTAATGGATTCTACTGCCAATGCATAATTAAGCAATTTAGTGCTTGGAAAATGAAGTTTGGCGAAATCTTTGAGAATTTCGACACGCAAATCCGGGTTATTGCGTGATTTGATTTTATGGCCTATTCCTAAAATGCTATTGCAAATGAGAGAGAAGATGAGCAGGCGAGATTTTGCAATAGATAATTGACCACTAAGAATATTAAATTTTACATACAGCTTGTTCTGTCTTCTCATCGTATCTACAAATTCCCGTGGTGTTAATCCTTTATCATATGCCGAAGTAAACATCTCTGCCGCACCATCAAGTGCTCCTCCGAAGCGATCTCCCTAACGATGATTTAAACAATATTAGAACAAGAAAGAAACAGACAATATATTCGCAGAGTGCAATAACTCACAATAGTCAATAATCCAGCACACAAACTGGATATAAGATCTTTTCCCGCTCGGGCTGTGACAATGGTGTTATGGGCACTAAAACGAAAAGATTATTAAAACGTTAGGAATGAGAAATGACAGTTACAGATTATCTCGTTCTCCCATTAAATGTTCACTCCGGGACTTCTACTCACCCAGATACGGCGGGACCATGATCGGCTGTCAACATCAGTATCATTTCGATAAATCGACAAGCATACTCGGGCAATCTTCTCTTAAACCATAACAAACTCAACACGCCCCCGATACCAATCTCTTCTTTGAATACATCTGATATTCTCATTCCAGCATACAGCAATTCCTGTCCACGGTCGTCACATATCGTAGAAACAAAGCTCGCTGGCTTTCTCACCAATCCGAGTTCTTGCGCCCATGAATAGTCAATGGGAATTTTCGGTGTTTCTGGCTCAGGTTGTGGTACTATTGTACCGTCAGAAACAAGCTTTTGATATGTTTCATGCAGATAAAGAGGTAATTTTTCAAACGTATCGGGTACTACTGCACCAGCAGATTCAAGTGCAGCGTTTTTGGCATCAGCCGTTTCTAGATCCGATTGTGCTAATGCTCCAGCATGTCCGAACTGTACTTCAGTAGTAAACATTTTAGCGCATGTACCAATACACCATGCAACTAATGGTTTTGTTATTCTGCCATCTCGTAATGCTTCACATACTCGGTACTCTTCAACTCCACCAACTTCTCCCAATAAAACTAGCATCTTACAGTTAGGATCACTCTCAAATCGTAGTAGGTGATCAATAAACGTGGATCCTGGGTATCTATCACCTCCGATAGCAATGCCCTCATACACACCGTTGGTGGTTCTTGATATAATATTATTCAACTCGTTCGACATTCCTCCCGATTTAGAGACATAAGCGACCGATCCTTGTCTATACAACTTGGAGGCCACGATATTATCCATCATTCCACCAGTATTGCCTATCTTAAAGCATCCCGGTTTGATACCTCCGACGGTGGCCGGTCCAATTATGAGAACCCCTCGTTTCTTGGCTTCATGGAGAATCTGTCTCGCTTTACGTTCAGGCACACCTTCTGCTATTATTGCAATAGACTTTATTTGAGGGTATTTGAAGAATTCAAACGTAGACTCGTATACTGAGCGAGATGAGGCAAAGTTAACGACTGTATCAACTTCAGGATGTTTAGCCACCGCTGCCTCTACGCTATTGAACACGTTGAGCAATGTCTCCATAGTTCCCCAGTAAAACTTTTGCATGTAATTACCACCAAATGGATATATCATGGCAGCAACAGACGGCATGGCTCTTTTGCACATAAAATCAAAATCAAGCATTCCCTGCACTGCTCTTGGCTGCATACCATAAATGAATGCACGGGTATTATTGGCGAATGGAGCGTACCACGGATGACTAGGCTGAGTGTCTGGCATTTCGAAATATGTCATTCGTTCTCTGGGATTGGCAATAGGTGTAAAATCTTCCTCCACATGATGACTCGCGTCTCCATTTGCTTTCCCCTTGTCGTGTTTTGGTGTTTGGGTATAGTTTGTCGTATCAACCATTTGATCTTGAATGGCATTTCCAATTGATTCAGATAATTGTAACTGACTAGTATTCAAGCCCGATCCATGATTAAGTAATGCCAATGGAACAATCTCCGTGATGTGGGTCTCGGGTCCATATACATGAATCTCTACTCCCAAGTCGTCTCCCAATTGTCTGACCAATCTCAGCCCCTCTTGATAATTAGGCCCTCCTCTCCTGACGAATATTTTCACTCTATGTGCAATCAATGGTTGTTTATACTCTTTCAGCGCACGTATAAGACCTTTGAATGTGACTGCTACGTTGGTGAAATTAGCAATTCCACCTCCAATAATAAGTATTTTACCATCAGGATGATACTTGGAATTATGTGTCATAAGATCAAGGATAGTTTTAGCATATTCGTAGGTCTGAATTTCAGTTGGTGCACCAGAGTATTCGCCATAGTTAGCTAGTTCATGCGCAAAACCAAGAGCTGCAATAGCGTCACTAAAAAGAAAGCGAGTAAAATGGGGGTAAGAACAAACATAAATGAAATAAATAAAAAGCATAGTCATATCAACACAATTTGACACTGCTGTATCATGTCGACATCAATCATTGTTGGTTACCTGTACACAACTGAAGCCCCACCTCCAGCAACCATAGTCCAAATCCGTCCATCCTTATTAAGAACAGTTAATTTTAACGATGCTCCAGTCTTGGAATCCAGTTCTTGTATATATGCCTCCTCTTTAATCAGCTCTCTTCCAAACGGTGCAGGAAATTCCATTGGAGGACCTTGATCAACGTTGGTATTTCCTATATCAAATTCACCGATAATACCAGCATTCTGAGGTGCTCTTGCTATTGCCCATTTAGGTCCTGCTTCAAACTCTGCAGTCTGATCCAACTTGGCAGCCAAATCCAAGTAGTACACCTTTGGAGGTTGGTCATCGCATGGATCAAGAACTACAAGTGGATTGATCTCAAGGTATGTAAAATGCAAATCAACATATACGGAATACAGCCGACTGATGAAATCAACGAGCACATCTTGCTTAGAGGGAGGAACGTTGGTAAGCAGGGCCGACTTAATTTCTTGAGAAGAAGGAAATGGTGCATCGACGGGGATTAGCAATTTCAATGCCTTGGAATCCACATCGCCTATTTCAATGCCGCCCTCGTGAGTGAAGAGGATATTGTCACCATCGCGGACTGAATTTATGTTTATATAATATTCTGTTGAAGAATCATGAGGCACAAATGGTTCCACTATAAAGGTCTTGAGAACTCCGGATACCTTGTCTACCTGGATGTCAAGACGATAAATAATTTTTGATATTAATATACAAACCGAGCGTGTTGTAAACCCTTAATATGTTCAATTTTTACCGTGATCGTCTTGCCAGCTCTTTCCATGACCCATTGTTTAACTTCCTTCCAATCAGCATTTAATAACAGTAAACCTGATTTCCCTCTACGTTTAATCAACTGGTCGGGTTTGACAACAAGCTTCTCAGTCAACAACCATGGATGCGTCCGCTCCAGAATACTCAACGTTCGCGTGACATGGGAATTGAATGCCAATGCTGGATTGCTATTATTGACATCGTGTATAATTGAAGTATCAAACGAGATGAGAGCTGCTCTAGTGGGGGGGATAAAAGTCTGGGGTAACTCTTGGAGAGCTAGCAACGGTGAACGCAGTAGCCAGTATGCGAGAATAAGTTTTCCATCGTATTCTCTGATTGCTTTGGCTGACATTGATGACTAAGTATCGAAAGCGTATGGAACAAATCTTGCGATATGATTAGATTGAAGTTCTTCGTCACCACAGTCGATCGATCAATCTAGAATGATTTGTCGTGAAAACAGCGGTCGACAGTGGAAAGCGGGCAATTTATTATGAAAATTCGTTCATTACATTGTTGGGGGATTGAATGAACGTGAGAAAATCGTGCGTGTCGTGAAAATTGGCTTGGGGGCATGTGATTAAAGGCTACAAGAAATTCGGACCCCGATTGCGACAATATCAAAAGACGATCGACATTGTTGTTTCCCCGCTTTGAATGTTGTATTATACCCAAATAATGTTTATTTTGTGATTGTGGATGAAATCTTATCATTTATCTTTTCATCTGTGTGATACATGTAAACGACTGGTTTAGTTGATCGTTTGCAGTTAGCGCAATACTGATGATCAAAGATAACAACTTGAAAAAAGAAATATTCAAAATGTATACTCATTTTGGGAAGCGATAATCTGCCAGGTGGTATTTCAAGCATTTGAGTGATAAGCGCCATGTGAGCTCAGACTCTCTGGAATAATCTAACTAGTATATTAATATTGCCCCAGATAATCATCTTTGCCCACCAAGTTTTATACGTTATACTGTACCTCTTATGCGAATTACGAGAATTGATCCTTAATTCTGTATTGAGGCTATTCGTTTATAGTTGGTTTCTGTACTAATATAATTGTTGTGCAAATAATGGCGCTATTAACTTGTTTGGTCAAGGTAAAAGAGGCCAAGGTACAACCTACATGTCTTAGTAACAATATCAAGTAATAGGTCTTTGCATGTTAATGGCAATGTAATAGCCGTGATAAAATTCTAAATTTGGCCGTTAAGATTACATCTCAAAACTATGATGCATTCTGAGTTATGGAATGAAAAGTTAATATTCAAATCATAATACCTTGTCTGATACTACTGTTGTTAACATTTTCATATGCATAAGAATAAGAAAGAAGAAGGTTGAAAACTTATGGTTTAGAGATTAATTAGTATAATAATAATAATAATAACGTAACGGCTTTTATTTTGAACATGGCAAAATTAAGAAGACACCAAATTTGGATGTGTTAGATATAGCTGTTAATAACAATGGTCATTCGCTAACCAGAATCTTGTATTTTAACCGTTAAAGGATAAAAGTTATGATATAATATTTGCCATTTTAATACTTATCAATACTGTATATTGGCATTGTTTCCGTTAAGTGCGATTGTATCCATACACAAAGAAAATTAACTCTTAAATTTTACGTGTTTATATTTAATAAAATGGTCATTGGAGAGACGTGATGAAAGGATGCAAATTCTTGTTATACATAATATCCATACACTACTGTCTGATTCAACATTGTTCGCTTCTCTAGGATTGACATCACAACTCAATGGTTGAATCAATAATTGCCGGTTTCTTTAGTGCAAAATCAACGACACTCTATTAGAGCTAATGGCGACAGAAAATTGGCAATCTTCGCGGGTAAGATTATCGATGCAACGGGAGGCAGAGCAAACTCGCCGGACGAATCCACTGTAGATTCGACGCTCTGGTAAGGATGTCGTCTTATGCAGTTGCGCTAGATTTATACAAAAAATACTTACATGTTAGCAATAATTTCTATGGATTTTGAAGTATCTTTCAAGTATATCTGGCAAGCCGAATGAAAAAAAAAAATAAAAACGGCAACTATACCGATCAGGTTTACAAATTTCTTACGGATAGAAATAAAAATGATGTCCCTTGATTGAAATGCCGGGAGTGAATTTAGTTTACAATACGAGCGCATCCGCAACCCTCACGATCCTCAACAATTCAATCTATAAATTCCTTCAACATTGTGGAACAATTTTGTCATCACTGTTTTGTCTGTGGTTCTCATATAGCATGTAAATAAGAAGTATTTTTGTTTACACAACATGCGCACGCTAGATATAAATCAAGAATGTTTCTAAAAAAGGTAAAGCCATCGCCCATCCACGTTGTTTACAAACTGGGTATTGGGAATAGGAAGCAAATCGACAATTCCCACAATAGTATATCGAGCTATTTTTATAATCGTTTCTCTTAATTCAACTTCCAAGATAACTTTTGTGAAAATTCTCGGAAGTAATTTTAATCACACGAATATTCGGCTAGTCTATTAGCTGTCTATTCTAATGTTTGCTTCTAATGTGAGACTCTGCTAGAACTAGTATGCGTGATTTGTGGCTTCAATGTCACTTGACTTCTACATTGTGGCGTTGAGCCCTGATCAACATCATAACCCTGAAGATAATATTATTGTTTGCGTGATACAACATTTTCATGGGCGCTTTGTTTGCATATCCCGCTTGGCTTAGACTTGAGATTAATCTTAAACTTGCAACATGCGAAAAAAAATTAATTTATTATTGACCTTGTACAGTTTGGTGATTGGATAAGATGCATCTTATAACTTTATGATTGCAAATTGTATGATATTAATTTTAACATATTTAGTATATGACGAGCGGGTCATAAGTATTTCCTTCTAACGTTCTGAATCAACGGCTGTATAAGAATTTACAAGCAATTCAGTCATTGGTATCATAAGTGGTAGTAGATGAGTTGAGCAAATACAGCATGCAGCTCTGTTTACAATCCCAGTAATGATCTTTTTATTCACTTAGGGAAGTCATCGAGTTAATGGCGTATAAAACTTGTCGTATTCTGGGCAACCTATAGAAATGCAATAAATGAATTTTCTGGTTACCTTTTCGTGAATCAAAATTGTTTAATCATTCATTTCTTTTGTTAACAAGGAAACGAAGCGAGTAGATCGTTGCCGATATTAAGTATTTTCTTCTATTTCTGAGATGTGTTTTGTTCAGACAACACCGGTCGATCAGTTAAAGAAAAACTAACTGATGCATATGATTCTCTATCAAAACTTAAAGTACAAAACCCGAAAAGAAAAAAAAACCAACAAACTTTAAATGCTATTTTACATAACCAATGCAATGCCGTATTCTTGTTACAAATTTATAATTGATATTCGCTGCTATCAATTCTCTATGTCAACGTATTTATCTCTTACGCAAGAGTCCGCAAACAGTTCAAACACAGAAATTAATCAATAAAAAATATCCAAAATATCCCTACACCAATCCAACCATTTGTTTGATTGTTCGGCTATCGTCCATCAACCATAGACATTGTTCATCACTCTGGTCTCTACAAATCCATTAACTGAACTGAAACCCAGAATTTCATCATATCTGTTCAGTATCTTCATGTTGTTTGGTTGAAACCAGGAATAGTTCGTAATCATCGACTTTAACCGGTCCAATGCTTCCCAAAATGTTGTGTTCATACGAATTCCTGGAACAAGTGGCAATCCCAGCTTTATCGTATGCATACATAAACACCAGATCTCCAGCTCCAAATTGCAGTGCGTCCTTTCCATTGGTCCTAACGGCACACTTTGGATCGTTTACTCTACTTGCAAGTACGCGCGAATTCTCATTATCCACCAGCGAGAATACGAAACTCTGAGTAGAATATCCCCAAGTATTTACACATTCATCCCACCCAATTGGATTATATCCGCCGATTATTTGATTAGAATGTCCTATTTTGAGGAGAATAATTGTTTCACCTCTTCCCTTGCATCTGTCTATCATAACTGAACATGGGAATCCGTCTCTGCTACCTCGAGCAAGCAATTTGAACTCGTATGGATTCTCGCTTGCTCCATATGGCACCCATCCGCACCCTTTAATGTCCTTTTTATCTATCCAACTGGCTACAACTGCCAGATGCTTACTGTCCGTCAATATGGATTCCGTCTCACCTCTGCGCGGACCATCCAACCCATAATTCGGTTTACTTCCATGGACTAGAAAATATCGCAGGAGATCATTGAATAGATAACTCGGGAGTAATTCTTGAAAAGGAACGACGTTGTTGAAGAATTCGGAAGCTGTCATCTGATGAAAACGTATCTTCTTTAGGATCTGGAGTAATTTTGATTCTACTGCCACATAGTCCTCTTCGTTCCAGTCGGTTATTTCTTCGCTTGGAGCATCGGTCTGCGCTATTGCCCACCTGAGTGCTCTATCCCATATATCAACTTCGTCTAGTCTAATCTCGTTGCTCTCTAATAGTTCTAATAGCAAATTCTCTTCTAGCATGTAAAAGTCGTCTGCTTTAAATACTATTGCCGGCGAGCGTTTTATTATTTTACTTGTAAAGTGCTGTAGTTCTTTGAAATCAGAATGTTCGAATGCAGTTTGATGGACTAGAACAAAGTTCTGATATAACCAGCGAACGTTATGGTCGATAAGATATCTCTGCAGATATTCGAATATTTCATCAATAGCCAATTCGTCTGCCGCCAAGAGAAGGTCAAATATATCTTCAGGGTCGACATGTTCCAAGTCAATATTACCACCGTAGATGTACCTATGCGCAAAGAGGAATAGAATATGTCAATACAGCCTGACATGGAAATTGTTTCGTTTTATACTGTATATGTATGGATGCATGTATATCAAATATGCTATCGGAAGATGATGTCCAACTATGCGTGATGACATGCGTATGTACAAAACGTGGTAATATCCGACATATATTTGCTCTATATTCTCTACCTTAGTATCACTGAAAATACAGCGGGGGAGATGTTTGTTTTTCTGAACACAATCTTGTTATCCAGTCGACAAGCCCATTCCTTAGATAGACCTCTTCTGAAATATGGACATCTGGCACGCAGAATAACCGAGTGTGCATGGAATTCCTTGACATTCGGCTCTTCACCGACTTGAATCAATACGTCGTAATCGTCTGCATCATCGAGTAATTTGAATATATCGACCAGTAGCCGCTTGCAGAACTCTTTGCTGTGAGGTTGCTTAGGCTGTGAGTAGCGTGTAAGCATTGCTTGCAGAAAACTCTGAAGGGCTTCACTTTGAGAAAGGTCGTTCATTGTCAATTCAAATACGGGATAATGTTGCGTAAAGGATCGAAACAAGACAGTACAGAAGGGTGGGAGGGGAATGCGGGACGAGATGAGGTGAAAGTTTGTTGTAGGGTTTCATGAGTTGATAGGTCTTTTATCCGTTTGTCATATATGTTATACGACAAGTGACATCATTTTTGTTATGCAAGGAAAAAAAAGCGGATATTACAATAGTCATATATAATGTGCACATATAAAAAATTATTTATAGCGCCCGCAATAATGGTATATTGTTATATTTTTCTCTTTCGAACACATTCTCTATCCGATCAACAATGGTGAGATCTTATTTTCATCAAGACCCCTGTACCTCGGAGTGGCACGGATGTACTACATCATGCCACACTGACTTTGATAGTTACTATGTATGTCAATTGGGGTGTACGGGTGTGAAGTCGGACTTGACCTGTCGTGTTTTTCAGTAATTGTATTTCCAGATACTCTGTGTACTTTGCTTAATGTTAGGATGCCTTGAATCGATTTCCACATGGAATTCTTTGACCACTAATACTTGACAGTATCTATAACCATTGATGATGTTTTCATCTACATAATTGGTCCAGCCACAGTTCTGTCTCTATCAGTTACCCAATCATTGTGACAGATTAAATCATGTGACTGTCTTTTTTTTTTCTCATTTTTTTTTTCTCATTTTTTTTTCTCATTTTTTTTTCCGCGTGAATTTGTAAACATCAATTTTTCCATTGTATACGCTGGCTTCGGGAAATCGTAAACGCATGACACACAATTACCCTTTTCACATTGTTCACTGATCAGTTTGGTAGGTAATTGGCAAGTGTATTGGCAAGTGTATTGGCAAGTGTATTGACTATAAAGCCTTGTCAGATGGAGATCATTCTGTATTTGCGTAAAACAAACTCTAAATTCTAATAGAAGCTTTGGAAAGTATAATAATAATGCATTTCTAGCTATTTTACCATTTACAAGGCGCCTTTTACATGGTAATAGTAAATCTTGTACACGACATTAACACGTCGAGAAAATAGTTACTTTAATAACATTCATTTATTTATGCACTCGTCAGCGATACTCTTGTAAACGCCAGTTAGTATGTTTATTAAATGATAAGGACAAATTCAGTTAGAATTCTAGCCAATCGATCGGTGATGTTGTATGCTAGTTTGAAATTATACTCTCATAATAGGAACCTAAAATTGTCTCCCTTTTCACATAATTATAAAAAACGTCTGCCCGAGTTTCAATAAATACCAAACTGTGACATACAACAGAATACCAGCTCTAAGACTGGAAAGTCAATTACGACAATACTAGTTTTAAATACAGATTAAAAGCGACAACTTCCGCAACGAAATTCACTTTAAACTCTTTTTTTTTAAAAGCAATTCGCTTTTGAAGCAGAATGTCGATTTTTATATTCGAATAAATTGATACAATTTGATTGGCCAGACAGTGATATGATCCATATTTTGCATCCTTATCGAAAGATTACTATTAATCACCGATATTTAATATCAAGACATTTGTCAAAAATAAGATCCTGTGCATGTGACCCAGTGTAACTACGATCGGGAAATCTGACACCAGATTTTTGTTCTGGGTTTTAAAATGAACCATAGTAATAGACGCTGTTTGGTCTGTAAGAGTGCTAGATTGATTAGTGACAACTTGGGTGGGTATGTATGTGAAAGAGGACATAGAACTGACGTGAGTATCATAAATTTGTACTGTGGGAAATCAATTAATTGACTTTTTTGCTGTCCTACATGCAAGGCTTTCATTCTCACCTGTCTCTTGCATTCTCTAGATAGTCACCCTAGTTGATGAGAAGATTGAGAATGCTCGTCATCTTAAAGGGCTCAGAAAACGCATATCGCGTCGTCGTGAAAAGAAAGAGGCGGAAAATCTTCAAGGTTATTAGAGTAGATTATATCAACAATGCATACCAGTTTGTTAACTCATTCATGCTTATCGCGCTTGTGTTCATTTGATCACAGGCTTTAGAGGAGAAAGAGCATATTATTGTCTCCTTTCAGCATACCAGTTTATCCTGAGAGCATTTATTCACTCTATGATACACGATATGGGCTGCCCATTAGAATACGAAGTATGTATGCTATATATAACAAATAGCTGTCTATGATTAATTGTGCTACTAAATATTTCTGTATCCAACTGCTTTATATTTCAGTCTGTAATGCAACAGCTCTGGTTGCTATATATCAATAAAATACCTAAACTTACTACTCCTCGTGAATGGGTCAAGGAACTGGAATCATCCGCTGATGCAGATACCGTTCAAACCGAAAACATTGATTATGGCGAGATGATTGAAGACCTTGTGTTCAGGAGCCAATTAGAGGAACGAATACCAACGTATGATAATCAAAATACAGATGATGGCGAAGATGAAGATTACAATAATGACACTGACTACTGTACCGATGCGGAAAACGAGCAGATGCCCCCAAACAGCAGAATCACGAACCCAGCAATGCCGTTTCTGTTGATTCTATGCTATTATGGTGTATTGTGGTTGCGTCTTCCCATTCTATTTATAGATATTCACCGAGCGGCCAACAACGGAGTGATTCCTTACTTTAATGCACGCGCAATACTACCTTCCACACTAAAGAACCATCTTCCTGGCCACATAAGAAATGGATTTGGTCAAGAGTTAATGCCAGTGGAAACATGCTTACCATTCGTACGAAGGTTTGCAGAATTCTACAAGACTAACTATGGAATAACATTCCCTGAGATCAATACGCCGCCTTTAATGTATCGATATATAAGAGACTTGATGTTACCTCGTAAGAAAAAAAAAATGATTTGGCCAAATTTTTTTTATTATTTTCATTCTATACGCCCTATTTTCTGAAATACTTTGTCTCGAATAGCCGAATTATATGTTGTTGTTAGGGAGATAGCGAATGTGACGCAGACGTCTTTTACAATAAACGATGCTAAGAGTAAGCTGATGCCATGGGAGATATTGATGGCATTTGTCATAATAGCTGCAAAAATGTTATTTGGATTAGATGGCAAAGAGAGGTTTGTAAATAAAAGATTATAATAAAGTGTCTGATTACACTAATTACTGATTCCACTTTATATTACCAGAGTCTTTAATCAAAACGATCAATTCGTCATTTACATGCCATCAAAGCAAGACTGGCTAAAGACTCTGAATGAAAGACGAGCTGATATATTTACACAGAAACTACCATTCAACTGGAGGTTGCTTGTCTCCTTTTTAAATCACAAGATAAATGTAACATATTAACGCGAATAATATTTTGGCAGGCAATGGCAATCGTTCTCTGAGCATAGTCCAGACAAGTATGTTGATATATGCTCATCAAATGTGGTTGGTAATAAACAGCGAGCACGTCGTAGGTACCGTTATAAACAAAACAGTAAGTAGTGATGTGGATATTATCTATGCTCAAATGATTTCAATTACATCATCTAATCGTCGGATTTAATAATACAAATTAGGTGCAGATGAGATTGCCGCTTTCTTTACTCAACAAGACCGACCAATAAGCGCGTCCACGTCTACATCTGCGTCCAGTTCCACCTCTCTTCTCATTGATCGTATTCATAAATTGTTTCAATCTGTAAACGTCAAGTCAGCGGCACTTAAAATGCGTAGCAGCCAATCCGAAGATCCGTCTGCATCTTGCGATCAGCTGTCTATAGGCCAAGAATATACTATGTATAGAGACAGAGAGGCGAACCCATTTCTTACGGCACCGTCTGAAGAATATAATAGTGATTATGAAAATGTGCTTGGATTTGCCGCCGACTATCTTGGAATTACCTGTAGTCGGATGCAGCGAGTAGTGTTTGCATATGAGGTAAAACTAAGTGACATAATTCATGAAATAGCAATATAGACACAACTGAGAACATTATCGCCGGATATATGCGAGACACCGTGGGGTAAGATCCCTAATTTGTTCAATTTTTTAATGTTATTTTAACCCGTATAAACCGCTGTATTGATCTCTCTGTTTACCGATTTCTTTAATTGTCTTGCCCGCAGTTTGCGACCTTAAAGCTGGAATTGGACCGAGCGATCGGAAATATTATTTAAACGGTAAATCTTAGCCTTATTACTCGAAACTTCTTCACAAAGAAGCTCCGACCAACAGCCAATAGGTGAAATGTCTTGATAAAAGGAGGTTTGGTTTAGTTAGTTGGTTGGAGGATTTGGGCAGTTTGCTCATTTTTTCCTTCATCTGAAAATATTAATATGTAGAAGTCTTGGCTGTTAAATAAACCGCCTGGTTTTTCCGTATAAGCACTTCATAATTCAGTAATTATAGACAGAAGTTGGACGCGAGCCAAAAATAGAATGGCGACACCAAATTGGGTTTGGTTTTTAGCACAATAACTACGTACTAATATGACCAAGGTTGTAGTCTAAGGTTTAGTCTAGTCAAGCACAACTGTATAATAATTTTTTCATCTTGAAAACCCGCAACGTAATGATGCAATTTACTATCTCTAGAAAAGTGAGAATAAATAAATAGTGAACTACCAGAGTATTTTGCACGGGAGGAAATACTCGATTATTGGAAGGAAATACACTAAATATAAAGTACACTGAGTGTGCTACAATCGCACCTACTATTACTATATTTATTGGAAGAGGGTAAACCACAATAATAGATAAAATGTAAATTACAGGTTTATTCAAAAAGTGCTCGAGTCACTAAAAATCATGGAAGATATTAATATTGATATTGTACATTGATTCAATTAATAGAATATTCATACCTGCAGCCGAATCCAAATCATAGCTATTTCTTGGTTTAGGCAGATCTCCAGTAGGTATGAGTTTACTGGAATATTTATTCTCTTTTTCGAGACGTGATAAGGCTTTTACATCATTATTATAGATAGTATCCCATATACTGTTGTCAGGAATATCCTTTTTCGCCTCTTTAATAAAGCTGTCAATATTCGTCCAAAGTGGGTATGCATCTGGACGCTTATCAGGATCAGAATCACAGCAACACGCAGCAAGTTTCTTGTATTCTTCTGGTGCTGAATCAGGCATTGGTGGCCGTAGTCCATTCAAAATATCACATACTAAATCTCTATCATATTCCCTATCTCTAAATGGTGGTTCGCCAGTGGCCATCAAATACATGATAATACCGAAGGAATATATGTCTGATTTCTGAGTAAATTTGCAAGTATGGAAGACTTCCGGTGCAATAAAGGATAAAACGCCTCGAATAGTTGAATTTGATTCACGCAAATTCACTGATCGTGAGAGACCAAGATCGCATATCAATGGTTCTATGAAACGCGTATTGTCATGCAAAACAATGTTTCCGCCATGAAGATCACAATGCACAATTCCTGCAGAATGGATGGTCCACAGATAATTTGCAATATCCCACAAACACCATAATTTATCCCTCCACGTCAATTTGTTAATATTTTGAACCAAATAAGACAAAAGACTACCATTGTTAGCATATTGCATAACAATCACGTACTCTTTTGTTTCTGGGTCTTGTGCAGCTCCATAAATTTTAAGGAATGAATTACGCATACACTTGGCATGATTTTTGTATTAAATAAAATAAATACAGAGTCAGCTTAAATATCACTCTAATCAATAATACCAATTATTGTTTACCTCGGAAATAAATAATTCCGGCATTTCACCAAAACACTTGAAACGCTTGAGGACAACAATTTCTGGCATATTCTCTTCCATTGATATTGAATATTTTTTATATTTGGCAGTATAGACTGTTCCATAACCACCAGATCCAATCTCTTTAATCTCTTCAAAGTCGCCATACTGCATATGTCTTACACGTTTCAACTATCGGTTTGAGTGTCACTCGTGTCAATTCATTTGTTCTCGGCTCTAACCAATCTGCTATATGTGTGCATCCGTGGTGTAATGGTGTCATCGCTCGTATGTTTGTCAATAGAGAGTATTCAATCCATTGCATATAGGCGTCATGTATATTCCGCGTATTACTCCATGATTCCATTATGAACGAGTCCAAACGCTTGTTGCCCGTAGTCCAATCGAGAGGTCTTGGTGCTTTACATTCATAGCAGAATGCATTTATCTTAGACGATAGTGGATTTGTACACGCTAGACATAATCCACGCTCAGATTTAATTAGATAATAGTTCTGTTTATTTACATCGTATGTAAATCCAATAGTTATCCAAACATTACTGATGAGAATATCCGGATGCTCACACATAGCTGTGGAAATAATAGGTTATATTAAGTCAACTATTATTTAATTATTCAATAAACATGATGCGTAATTAATAGTCGAATAGTTTACCTTGTCATAATATAAATCATGTGTATCGTCTGTTATTTCAAGCGGAGTTAATTTAACTTGTACCCCAGTTACAGGAGTAGGTAGTCCATACAAGTGTAACCATTCAGCCCCCTCATCTTTAATACAATCAAATGGAATCCATTCCAAATAGTGCTCATTTGCAGAGTTTGTTTGTAATTGGGATTTCTTAATAAACTCATCGAGTTGCTTATTGTTGCTAGTCCATCCATTGGATAATTCTTTATGTCCACATATGCACCACACGGGACTACATCGGAGTATTCCACATTTAGAACAAAATCCATATCGATAATAACAATTGTAAAAGCATTTATCAGCAACCATGTAATATTTCTTGTCATCAGACTTGGTAAATCCTTTTATCAGTTTGTTACGATGTTTAAGCCAGTGGAGAGATCGTCTAAATTGCCTGACATTATTCTCGTACTTGTGTGTTGGAAGTGAGTATATTCTAGCAAACTCATTCACAGAAGTTGGTGTGCATTCTTCGCTGTTTCCAAGTGATAACAACGACGTTATCTCCAATTCAATATCATCATCGTATGTTAGCTTGCGGATAGCGTGGTAGACATTGTCAATTTGACCTGGCCTTATGTCGGTAATCTCCGAATAAGGAATCCATTCAAGCTGATTAACTCTTGTTAAGGAGGATTGAATCAAGTCGTCAATTGTTGTATACGTCGCTGAAACTAACGACATCGTTTTTCTGAAGTAAAAAAATTGAGCATTCTTTATGTATTTTGTGTCACTTCAACACATGTTTTTCACGTAGTAGTAATCGTAAACATGGTTAACAGTTGCACATCACTCCGTCACTCATGTTTGCTTGTACGCTCAAAGCGTCTGTCGCCTTGTTTGCTTAACTGGGACTGAGAGGAACACTATATAGACGCTCCTTGGCATATACCAACTTTTTCTCAATTAAAATGAAATTGGTATTGAAAGAAAGGTTTTATTAAAATCGAGCTTTGCATCATTAACTCGATGTAAATGCATAAAAATAAATGCACCAAATTTTTTGCAAAAAGTTGTGGATTTAGTGACATCTAGCACTGTCTTTCGTGATTAATTTATTGTAATTCTAACAATTTGGTTTCACGTATTTTGACGTTGAATAAACTACTTTGACTGAGATGCTGCTATGGCGTTTCCGTAGTGCGTAGAGTGTGTCCAATAATACTCACGTTTGTTTGTTATAATTAACATAACAAATACTGTTACACTATAACTACGCGCAATAACTCTTGAGAAAATAAACTTTGTCATTTCCTTAGGCAAAACAGGACTATCTTTATCAACAAACATTTGCTTAGTTTTTTGAATAAAAAGTCTTTATTTTTTCCTCTAAATTGTTGGTCAGTGCATACTATACGTGTAATAACCGATTCTATAATATGGAAACATTAATTTCACAAGTATTTAGCAAGCAAGACCAACTGCCTCTAGCATAAAAAATTTATCTCCGAAGAACAGACCTACGGATAACAATGGATTGATGGTATACAATATGTAAAGAACAAAGTCAATAATAAAAGTTAAAGAGATTAATGTTAATAACGTGTCGAGCCAACTACCGCGGAAGGGCGTTCAACAATTAGTTTTGAAATTTAGCTCTTCAGTCGATACTTCTACTCCTGCGTAAAATCACTAATACAGTTAGTAACCTTTAAGCTAGCCAATTATACTCACGATTAATCGGTCTGTACAATACAGACTTTCGATTGTCAATTACACTGCAGTTATGCTTCTACCCTCTATTGGTGGGATTAGTTTGATAGTCCATAGAATACGTCGGGGACATCAAAGTAAAAACGCGTTTATTTGTAATAATGTATTTGCCAATTGTGAGATTCAATGGAATACACGTCAAAATCATTAAAATGGCTAAAAATGCTAAGTTAGTAGTGGTATAAGTATCAAAGGAATGTTCAAATTCAACAACGGAATCCGAACTAAGCTGAATATGATATTAGCTAACGAAACTACAACTGTTTGTTCTAATTATAGATATAAACTATTTATGGGTGAGCCAATAATGGCGCCAAAGTTACAACATCGGGATATAGACCGCATCAGAGTGACTAATAAGTTATACCCTTGACTTTGTGGTGTTGCACGTTTGCATCGATTCTATTCCACAAAGTAAAAATAGTAATTGTGTCACTAAATTGAAAACGGAATAAGATTCTGATTCGCCACCGATATTAAAGATTACAGTACGTCTTATCTATTCGTTGTGATACAAAAATAGTGTCACTCGGAACATTAAAACATTTCTACCCGTGTGGCAGTTTCCCTTATCAAGTATTACTCAAGTCGGTTTAATGGTTATTAGTATCACGTGAAAGTTTGGACGTGCTTTAGAGAGAAGGCACGCAAATAGATTTATGTTTAAACGTTAACTTTGAGCAATTAACTCTTCGTGTAACAATTCTCATTGGACCAACAATAATTTTAAGGCTAGATATTTAATATCGAACCAATCATTAACGTTCGACACAACTTTCAACAATTCTTTGATCGATGTTGTAATGACCACTTGAACAAATTGTATGGATCGTTTAACAGCCCAGAAACAACACGAATATGAATGGTTCTACAAACATTATACTATCGATTAATTAATTGCGGGATAAGTTTGGAAATTGGTTTGATCAAATTAGCAAACCCCTAACAGATTGACGGCAAATGTTCCCTAATAAGAAGCCGATTTTAATTTGCATTCTTTGTTCACACCAAAGGCTCTAAGGAGTTTCCGGCATACAGCCAAATTTTATGAAAAGCCTTATTGCAGAGTTGTACTCGTAATAATAAATTCTTCATATTCATCGACAACACTTTTCCCTAACGCTAAGACGTGATCACAGCTTTTGATCTTGCGATATTACACAAACAAACTTGTAGCAAATTGTTTAGCAACAATCAAAAAAATACCCGGCATTGTGAATACCAAAATTACAGAATAACAAACAATAGGCGTATTTTCATTGGGGGATCTTTTTGAAGCGGGCCCACAACAAACATGACATGCTATCCCTATGTTAATGTCACGTTTCTATGATGTACTTAATTCAGTTCAACGCATCTTCTTTTTCTTACGTGCGTTCTCGTCGGCGCATTGATCACTTAATTGATCACGAGAATTACTTCCCTGATCGCTCAAAATATACTAGCTTAGTCAAAGGCCTATTCCAGTATTTGGGAAAATGAGTTCAGAATGGGCATTTTCAGAGTTCGGCGTATTTTTTGCATGTTTCGACTCGTATCAGCATCATCAATGTATACCCCATTTTTGGATAGTATGTTTGTTACTCTAGCGTGATTCGTAACTTTGATCATCCAACTCGAACAAATTTACCTTATGGTCGCTTACACTATTTGTTAATATCACGCTATCCCTGCTATCTATTATTGCTCTTCTACGCTACTAATTAAACCTGTACATTCTTCTCGCACCCCTTGCAATCGACCGTTATGGCGACTATAGCCGACAAACCAGCGAGCAGTCCCAAGCCAGTAGGACAGGCAATAGATATTTTCACAGACGATACTAGTGATAGTGCGTTTTTTGACAGTTTAGGAGTTGGCACAGAAGAATCCGTTACCACAACAAACATACAAAACGAAACTACCTCTCCGGAACACATAGACCAAAATGACTCCAATTCATATTTATACTCATACGAATACTCATATTACGACGAATCTCAATACCAAACAGACACACATTATGAAGGCTACACGAATCCACAACAACAACAACAACAACAACAAGAATTCTACCAGTACTACGAATCAACATCGCCGCAGGAGCAGTCCTCAACTCCTACTTCGATACCGCGCTCGGACTCGGTATCAACTCAAAAGCCATCATCACCTAGTCCAAAGGCATTGCCTGTTCAATGTCCATTTCCCGGGTGCGCCGGCGAGAACAAACCCAAAGCAAAGTTCTGTTGTGAATGTGGTCGATCGCTTGGCGTTGCATCGCGGGCGGATACTCCGAGCATTAACATATCGGCTGCCTCGAGTCCGACAGTTGGATACAACCAGGGATACGGACAGACTATGACGGGAAATTTATATATGAATTCACTAGCATCTCATTCATCCACATCGTTCACTCAGCCAATGTCACCAACTATGCCATATGGAATGGTTGCTGCATCATATTCTACGGCATCGCTAGGGCAGCCTCTTTCTCCCACAATGCCTTATGCTCACCAAGAGCATTCGTTCTCTTCTACCTCGTTCATTCAACCATTGCCATCTGCTTATGATGGCATGACCGCAGGTCACGATTATACGAGACAAAGCACTTATGGCTACGACGCATTGGAACCAATACAAGATATGCTTGAACGACATCGAGGGTGTCCCGTCGTTGCGTTTGGTTTCGGAGGACAGCTGTTGACAATGTTTCCTCGCACCGTACAGCGATTCACCAGTACAGATGGAGATATGCCCGTTACTAAAACAGCTCCCGGCGCAATCACAATTCGCACTATCAAGGACGTCATACCGTCCTCTGAGATCCTGTCGTTCCCTGGCCCCTTGTTGGACAACAACAAGGGAGGAATCAAGGCAAAACGCAAAGAACTGACGAAATATTTGGATGATAATATCCAAATACAAGAAGATAAAGTCAATTCATTCGCTGGTGATGAAGTAAATAAAAGTAGCCTCGAAGCTACAATTCTTATCTGGAAGTTATTGAAGTTAATGATTGAGCATGATGGCGCTTTAGTTGGAAAGTGAGTGGTTATTAAATAATGTTCGATATTATTTTTTCTTTTCTTTTCTTTTTTTTCAAATAGACTTAGATAGAAATACACGAATAGAAAGTCGTAGGTAGTTTAGTCTAATACAGATTTTTCAAACATTTTTGTTGTAAATTCCCTCGCCTTTTTTAAAATTCTGCCAAATTACCTTAGTCCGAAGATCGAAGAGGCTGTTCGTAACCTACTAGTACCTATGAAAGACAAAACTGGCGATGGCTCTACTGATAATTTCACAATCCCAGCCGATGTAACATCGTTTGATGCTAGCGATAACAAGGAAACGGAAGAGAAGACCATCACGTATACAGTGTCGAAGGATTCCGTGGATAAATTACAGGAACTGTTGCTCAAAGGCGATCGTACTGCTGCTGTTAACTATGCAATGCAAGAGAACTTGTGGCCTCATGCTATGATAATCGCGAGTTGTGTTGACAAAGTCACGTGGAAGAATGCGGTGAGTAGTTTTATCAGACAAGAATTGAGCGACAATCCATGTGATGACGACAAATCAAATGGAAGAGAAAGTTTGAGAGTATTATATTCTCTGCTCTCAGGGCAAGGGCGTAATGCAGGTAAGAATGATGAATCCAATATAAATAATGCAAAACTTTTTGTATCCAACATGAAGGTTGTTCGCTTTACTCATCCACTTTCTTTTCAAGTCGAGGAATTTCTTCCTCACACGCCTCTTCTTAGAAGAATCTCCCAAGTTCCACTTACGCCCGTGCCAGTGATATCGCCACTTCTTTCTACTACGACGCAAACCTCCCCAACTACTTCTGTGCCGTATTCTCCATTGCCTACAACTCCGCATTATACGCCAGAGACATCCACGGCATCTTATGAAAGTCTCTCCAAATGGCGTGAGACGCTTGCTATGATACTGGCCAATCACGTCCCTGGGGATAGCCTGGCTATTACAGGACTGGGAGACATATTGCGAGAGAATGGGTGGATTGGTGCAGCGCATGTTTGGTAAGGGTTGACTTTGCCGAAACGAGTGTTTACTATAATACCGTGTACTGACATACATCGTATATTCATTAGCTACATGTTATCACCTCAGTCATCAACTCACTCTGGCATTGATATTCCTACTTGTCGAATGAGCCTTTTATCAGTAGACTACCTTCACCAACAGTCTACTTTCTTTCATAACTGCGATGCGATCCGGCTTACTGAAATTTACGAGTTTGCACGCTCACTACAAGGTGACAGTGATGGTTGTTTACCATTCCTACAAGCTTATAAACTACTTTACGCTTGGTGGTTGATCGACTATGGACATGTGAATGAAGCAAAACGGTAGGAATGACAAGATAAATGCGGATTAAGTTGGTGTTTTTCATACAACTAACATATTTGTTGAACGTAGGTATTGCGAGTCAATAGCAAACACTGTGAAAGTGTACACAAAAGGTTCTCAATATTTCCACCACTGTTTCTTGCAGAGTCTGAAAAAGCTCACTCAACGTCTTCTGGAACATAACAGTAACGGCACGAATAATGGGTACGTGTATTTTTACTCCATGTTGTACCAATACCAACATGTTCCATTACTCTACAATAACGTGTATACTTCATCGATTCAGGAACAACGAACAATCTTCATGGCTCTTTGCCAAGAAAATGCCAAAAGCAAGGCTCGACTCGCTCTGGGACTCTCTCGAAGGCAAATTCAACAAATTTGTTGCTGGCGATACTAATGATGCACCAGGCAAAAAACAACAGACAGAGTCAGCAGAGGTTGTTGGTCCATTCTCTCACTTTAGTAGCACAGCTCATCCATCCGCAGATGGAGTAATACCAACGAGAAGCGCATCTGCTTCAGACTTCAGAACCACAGATATTAATCAACGGCGATCCGCAACTCCGAGTGCTATTCCTCAAAAACAGGTGTTCAAACACCATAGGAGGTCATCTACTCCTGGAGCTAGTTTACAAGGTATGGTAAATGGGCTCAATGGGGCCCATATTGATACACAGAATTCTATGGCACCGGTCCCTGAAAGTGCGCAGGCGTACGTTGCTTCGCCCACTGACGAGCGAAACGGTTATTTTGGTTTCTTTGGACGTGAAAGTCTTGACATTCAAGATGCAAATCGAACAATGAGTCCTAATGGGGGACATGGAGGTTACAACGGACAGAGCGTGTATAATGGCTATAATGGTTATAATGGCTATAATGGTTATAATGGTTATAATGGTTATAATAACGCAGGGCAACAGCCAATAGCATACGATCAATCGTTAGCCGCTTCCGGTTACCCATACTCGGCAGAACCAAGTGATATCTCTCAGCAACAACCACTACAACCACAACTAAAAACACAACAACCACTACAACAATCACTACAAACACAACTACAAACACAACAGCCACTACAGCAAACACAACAACCACTACAACAAACACAACAATCACATCATCAACCAATTATGTATAACATTCACACTACTCAACCGGATAATGGCATCAACGCTACCGACTCTTCATCTTCATGGTGGAATGACAACATATCCCCAACAGAAACTGATACCAGCGGCCGCGGACATCATCCACGGGATTCCATACAATCTGACACGTTCGGTTCGGGCGAGTTTATCTCGCCAATGGGCAACGCTACTCCATTTGTGCCCGCCATCTCTACATCCTTTGTCGCAAATGCATCGAATAATAGTAATGTCAGCACATGGAATGGCGACGGTGATGATCTCGGATTAGGGAATAATTCATTAGGAGGGAAAAAAAAGCGTGAAACAGGTGCTGAAGCAGAAGTTGCTGATGGAAACGAACAGAATGCAAGTGAAAGCAATGTGACTAGAGCAGTCGAAGAGAAGTCAAAAGAGGAGAATGATCAAGAGAAAAAGACTGGTATATATTTTTGAGGATATTCATTTGGTAGGGGACGGGTTTACGGTCAACAAATTATTGTTTGTTTTTCCGAGATATTGACTGGGTATCACCCCACCCCCCTTCCTTTTTTTCTGTTTGGTTAAGATGGCAGATGGTTTTCACGTTGGTTTAGTAAGAAAGAGACAACCGCAAAAACGGCCAATCTTGGCGAGGAGAGTTCGTTCTATTACGATCCTGTACAAAAACGATGGGTGAATAAGAAGGTATGTTCTTGATTACAACATTTGCTCGAGAAAATTCGCTAGTATCATTACTTATCTTTTTACTGCTAACCAAAACAGGTAGAAGCAGAGTCTCCATCGACTCTAATGCCGCCACCGCCACCGCCAACCCGTGCACGAACTACATCACCAACGCCGTCGGAATCAATGAACAAGCAGGCGAATCGCGTGTCGCTTCCACCTGCTCCATATCCGAACGGATTACCTGGTATTTCTGCGACGCCGCCACCAGGTGGTCAGAGGAAAACAGGCACAGGAAAGAAACATAGGCCACGTTACGTGAATATCATGGATCAAATGCAGTAAGGTGGTAAAAGCAGAGTGTTGGAGTAAGGATGCTATACGAAGGAATGTGGAGATATATGGATTGGACTTTTTTGGTTGATTATTTGGTAAATGAAATAGTGTAAAAAAAGAGGATTTTGAGATTCTTAATATATTGTTAGGGTTAAAGAATATTTATAGTTGTTTTTGACCCATTAGACTGTATTGTTGCTATTACTATAAAGTTTTTTGTTTCTAATAAAATGATTTGCAGTAGAAATCTGTATTTTGATTGCTTTAACTTTATTGCCCACTTATTTATATGCAAAATGACATACTGTAATGCCACAGAAAGAATGTTGAATTTGTAACCCTAGCAACAGAAAATAGCAGCTCATATAATATCTAATTTCATTGATTTATAGGAATTAACGGTGATTCAATAAAATCAGTCTACAATCTCTTCATATTCGCTGTTTGTTGTTTTTTGGGTGTGGGTTGTGTATCAAGGACAAGTTCATGACTAGCTTACACCTGGGAGAGCAGCGGTGCACCAGCCGTTTTGGGATTTAGTTCGTTTCCAACGGAAGCTTTAAACTAAATATCTATACAATTAGTGACCTTTAAACTAGGATTTTATACTCACGAATTGTATATTATCGCTTTTGTATACACTGTCCCTGAATTATTGTGTATCTCTACGATTTCTTTGATGGGATTAATCTCAAAGCCTATCGAAACGGGGAATTTATCTTATCTAAAACTACTAGCAATAATTAAACAATAACCCTAATTGCAAAAGTACTAAATAGAATTTATCGGCAAGATTAAATTCTATTCACCGCTGACGAGAAAAGCGATTTACACTTGCGCCAAACGATGCTACAGTCCCGGAAAATAATAATGGCGGTGCCTATTAAATGCAATTTCCACAAAGTGTTTACATATAAGTTAAACTTT